TAAATTTGGCCAAATATTAATCTTGGAAAAAAGTTACTGGCACACTATCCCACACCCCTATGCACATTTAAAGAACTGGAGTGTTTTAGTATCACAGAGGCCATTATAGTGTAAGTTCACCTGCCTTGTCTTGGCAAAACCTTTTAGGCGAGTCCTACACTAACAATTAGCCTTGCTTCTTCGAGCTAAAAGGTAAAATCTCTAATGAGACAGAAAGGGGGATTTTTCTAAACCGCTACATACTTATTAACCCTTAACAGGGAACAAATTGGGTGTGATGAATCACTAATACAAAAGCAAATACAAACCAAAAAAATTAAGTCCTGTACTCAAACTCCCACTACTCCTGAACAGCAGCAATGACTATAATACACATCAGCCACAATTCATGGAACAGAAAAAAAAAAGTTACTTGGCACTTCCTTTTCAATAGCTTTTTCTTCTTTTTTTGTTCTATGTATTGGGGCTGATGTGTCCTATAGTCATTGCTGCTGCCCAGGAGTTATGGTTGTTTGAGTGCAGGGCTTAATTTTGTAGGTTTATAAATTAATCTTGTGTCTGATCATGACAATCAGACACAAAACATACTGTTTTGGTTACAGATTTTTGCCACAATATGATGTGTCATCAGGGCTGCCATTAGAAGGATGCAGTGTGTGTGTGTGTGTAGTGGATGTAGGGTACGGAGAGTGGATGAAAAAAGGTGTGTGTATAATGGATCCATATGTGTGTAGTGGATGGAGAGGGTGTGTATAATGGATGAAGAGTGAACATTGTGTGCGTTTGCATAGTGGATATAGTGTGTGTGTAAAGTGGATGCAGTGTTTGTGCAATTTATGCAGTGTGTATATTTGTGTAGTAGATGCGGTGTATGTGTAGTTGATGCAGTGTGTGTGTAATAGATGCAGTGTGTACAGTAAATGGAGAGTGTGTTTGTGTAGTGGTTGCAGTTTGTGTACTGAATGTAGTGTGTGTGTAAAGTGGATACGGTGTGTGTGTATGTGTGTGTGTGTATAGTGGATGTAGTTTGTGGAGAGTAGATGCAAAAAGTGTGTGTGTATAGTGGATGCAATGTTTGTATAATGGATGCAGAGGGAAAATAGTTTGTGTATTGGATATAGTGTGTGTAAAGTGGATGCAGCGCTTGTGTAATAGATGCAGTGGGTCTAGTGGATGCTGTGTGTGTGTTTGTATAATGGATGCAGTGTGTATAGTGACTGGATAGTGTGTGTTTGTGTAGTGGATGCAGTGTGTGTTTGTGTAGTGGTTGCAATTTCTGTAGTGAAGGTAGTGTGTGTGTGTTTAGTGGATGCAGTGTGTGTTTGTGTAGTTAAAACAAAATCTGCACCACTAAAATAAAAGCGGGAAAAAATTACTTATCTCCAAAATTATAATCATCTTCCCAAGATCATCTCCCAGATGGTGGTCTATCATAGGGAGTACGGGCAGATGTTAGACGTAGGTCTTCGGCAGAGCACAGGGGCCTTGACAGGATGTACTTGTGTTTTAGGGAGGATAGGTAGGTTGGAGCAAACAAGTACCAGAATCTTAAATTGAGCCCTATATCTAACTGGAAGCCAATGTAGGGACTGACAGAGGGGGGAGGCATGGGAGGTGCGGGCAGACAGGAAAATGAGCCTCACCGCCGCATTCATTATAGATTGCAAGCTGGGAACACGTAAGACCAATGAGAAAGGGATTGCAATAGTCAAGCCGAGAGAGAACAATGGCACGGACCAGCTCCTTAGAAGCATCTGGTGTTAAATAGGGGCTGATGCGAGCTATGTTTTTGAGATGGAAGTGTCAGTATTTGGCGATCGACTGGACATCAGGGGTGAAGGAGAGGTCGGAGTCAAAGAGAACACCTAGGCAGCGGACCTGCGAGGTAGTAATGGTGGTGCCATAGACTTGGAGGGAGACAGACACTGGAGTAGCAACACTTAAGGGAGGTAAGACGAGAAGTTCTGTTTTGGACAGGTTGAGTTTAAGGAAGTGAGCAGCCATACGAGTCACAATGGGCGGAGAGAGATCAGGAGAGGACAGGTTGATTTGCTTGTGACATTTGCATTTAATGATAATGGAAGCCAAAGGAGCTGATGAGTTTACCAAGGGAGGCACTATAGATCGAGAACAGTAGGGGACCAAGGACAGAACCTTGGGGAACGCCAATAGAGAGGGGTTGAGGAGAGGCAGAGCCAGAGAAAGAAACATTGAAAAGCGCTGGAAGAGGTAGGAGGAGCACCAGGAGAGAGCAGTATCCTGTAGACCGAGATTATAGAGAACGAGAAGAAGCTGTTGATGATCAACAGTGTCTAAGGGAGCTGAAAGATCAAGGAGAATTAGAATAGAGTAATGGCTGTGAGATTTAGCAGCGATTAAATCGTTGGATACTTTGGTCACAGCTGTTTCGACAGAATGATGAGCACGGAATCCAGAATCAAGCAGGTCAAGCCGAGAGTTGGCTTTGAGGAAGTCGTTCAATCTCGTATACACAACTCTTTCAAAGATCTTGAAGGCAAATACCAGTAGCAAAATAGGGTGGTAGTTGGATGGGGAGTTAGGGTCAAAGTTGGGCTTTTTCAGACTTGGGGTTGTGGTTGCATGTTTGAAGGGTGAAGGAAATGTGCCAGAGGAAAGGGAGAGATTGAAAATTTTAGTGAGAGGCAGAGCAAGAGAGGAAGACAGAGTGCGGATGAGATATGATGGAATAGGATCGAAGGAACAGGTGATGGGGCGAGAGGATACATCTGATATGTTACTAAAAGTATATTAAAAAACAAAAAATTGTATTATATTGTTTAAAAGTGAAATAGTGTATGCAATAATATAGCACTCATAAATGTATGGAGTTTAAATCACTTCAAAGGGGCCTCCCCAGAAGGTGAATGGGGGCTATAGCCTCATTGAGGTCACTGCTCTCAACCAGGTACCAGACAGAAATCTGGATGAGAGATTTCCAAAAAAAGGATTTTTATAGGCCTGACAGTAAAAGTGTTATAATAGTTATAAAATACAGAGTTCCTACGCGTTTGTCACGGGTTGTGGTCCGAAGACCAGGACCCCTGTATGCCTGAAGATTATGAGAGTCTCAGCGTGGAAATGGACAATCAGGGCCTGGTGCAGGGTAACCACACACGCCCTGGTGTTGGGTTTGTGCTGCAACACACCAGGGCCCTGATGCAGCTTAGCAGAAGCCAGGAGCTGATATTAAGCAGACATGCATTCAGTACTAGAAACAAGGCAAGACTAGAATAGGCAACTGTGACGAACTGCACTTCACCACTAGCTTTTGGAGGGGCCTGATTGCCAACCTCTTGTCCCAGGACTATAGCCCCTGGGAGGTATTGCCCTATAAAACCGCTATTTGGACATATTGGGTTGGACTTGGACTTTTAACTGAAACAGATTCAAACATGTGGCGGCGGCTATCTTAAACTGTCCAGCAGTGTTTTGTCGTTGAGTGTATGGAACTGTTTTGGGCATGGGACCATGTGCACGGTGGGGCAAAAATAAGACTTCCAGGAAATTCCTGAACTCCTGAACTGATATGGGTGATTTTTGGATATGTTGTTCACCCAGATCGGGGGACTTTTGTGGGGATATGTTGTATTTTGGGGTACTTTTTGGGGTTTGTAAAAATGTATGTTTTTTCTGCTAAAGTTAATTGAGTTAGTCCATTGTCTTTGTTCATTATTTCACAGGAAGAGGGGAGGGCTTGCCGACTGTATGTGGGAGTGTTACAGTAATAATTATTGTTCCCATTAGTTTATGTTCCTTGTGTCCCTGTGTTTCATCAGGTCCAGGGGAAGTGCCCCTGACCTGAAACTCTGTATAAAAGAAATGCAAGTTGCTCAATAAACCAGACCTTCTTACCCTCAACTCGCAGCCTCGTCTCGTGTTGTAGGGAACAGCTATAACTGCTATATCACTGCTAACTCTTATAAGAACTCTCTTCAGCTATACTCTCCTGGAGGAGAGGTCCTTCCCACAGCTATACCCTCCTGGAGAAGAGGTTCTTCCCACACGGTGCTGGGTCCAGAGGTTGTACCAGGATGGGTGGGAGACAGCGATATCCCAACCAAGCTATCAGCACCGCACCGGACACCATAGCCACCGCAGACGTGGTTTGACAAGCAAATTAATTTATAACATCCTTTTTTTTTTTCTGGATTTCTTTTTTTTTTTATTATTATTCTGTCTCTCACTCTTAAAACACACCTACCATTAAAATGATAAACTGATAATTTCTTTGTCAGTAGGCAAATGTTCAAAATTAGCAGGGGATAAAATACTTTCCCCCCTCACTGTATAAATTGTATTTCACAGTTTTGCTTACCAAGAAATGTGCAGGACTTCTAATGCCTAGCTTGTAATACTTGTATTACTGTAACCGCGGCTGGTTCCCTTCTTTACCACTATAATGTCTTAAAGTATAGAACTTAGCAGGGCTAACCATACAGATATCTTAGTAATAATTTTATATAGTTAGTGTAAGAGATCCTCTATTTAACATATATAAATAATTGAGAATACAATATAAAATAAGGATTGTTTTGGAAGCAATTGTCTTTTTGGTGTTTATTATATAAAAATATAAATATAGACATATAAAATCCATTGCAATAACTTGTAACAGAGTTTCTAAGATTAAACTAAATGCTTGCAAACAGGGCTGCCATCAGAAATGTTGGGGCCCCTGACAAAATTCAAGGTCTGGGCCCCCAGTGCCCACTCACGAGTCCGCCCACAGGGCCATCCTTGAATCTGCCAACAAAGATGCATTATGTGTGTAGAGTGAATGCAGAGTCTGTGTGTGTAGTCAATGCAGTGTGTGTTTAGTGGATGCAGTGTGTGTAAAGTGGCTAAATGTAGATCCGAATCTGTTGTAAGTCCCAGAATGCTTTGCTAGCTATGGATCTAGAATTTGCAGGGCTGTATTTAGCACACGGCAGTGTATGTGTGTTTGAATATAAACATGGTTTTGAATGGAGTATGTGTGTATTTGAATGTTGGTGTTTGAATGCAAGCGTGCATTTGTCTGTAGTATATAAACACACACACACACACACCCTGACATACATGCAAATACACAGACACTGTTACACATATTGGCACATAGTTACACACACATACACTCAGGTTCACACTGACACAGATACATAGACATACACACATATACACAGACACACTCAGGTGCAAACTGACACACAGATACAGACACATACACACACTGATACACACATGCACACACATAAGAGATACAGGCACATGCATTGACATACATGAAAATATACAGACACAGTTACACACACATAGATTCACGTGCACACTAACACCCAGATACAGACACACACACAGACACAGATACACACTCAGGTGCAATCTGGCACCCAAATATACACAGACACACACATAGATACACACACATGCACTCTGATACATACACACACATAGGACACATACAGACACACACTGACATACATGTAAATACACAGACACACAGATATACACACTGAAAGATACAGACACACACACACTCAGGTGCACATTGACAGATACATACAGACACACAAACAGATACACATAAAAACAAAATATAAATAAAATATATGTGTAAAAATGTAGAGAAACAATAATAAAGTAATCAATTCTATGGGCAGATTCACACCAAATAAACACAGCTTTAGTTGAGAATCTCAGAAAAAAAAGAAAGCGTGAGCGCTCCAGATAGATATATATAATAAAAAATAAATAAAATAAAAAAATGTATTGCACTAATTAAACAACACACTTTAAAAAAATAAATGCAAATGACAGAAAATGGGCCATGCACATAAAATATAAGACAGGCTATGCAAGATAAAAACGTACACAACATGGGCAGTCTGTATGTAAAGAGCAAAAAGCCAGGACAGGCAGCGTCAAATAGAAAAGATATACATTACAACAAAGTTATCAAAACAAACTAACAATCTGATTAAACATTTAAATAGAACCCCAACTAAAACTAAAATAAATGGGGCATATCAACTAAGTAGTGAAAATTATTGTGGACAAAAAGTGTACATAAAAATCAAATACAGTCACTAGAAAACCATGATCATAAAAGCTGCAGCACTGCTATAAAAATAAATAAATAATAATAATAATCAAAGAATAAAACAATAACAAAAACATACACTCAGGTGCACACTGCCAACCAGATACAAACAAACACATAGATACATCCACAGATACAGACAGACACACACACTCAGGTACACATACATACTGACACACTTTTTTAACCACCCTCCTGGTTCTTACCTGCAGGAGGGTGGACTCTGCTGGCTGGGGCTGGGGCTGGGGCTGGGGCTGATGTGGGTGTGAGTCTGACTCTGTCCTCCTCTTCACACTCGCCAGTGCTTCCTCCCACCCTCATGGTTCTTACCTTTAGAATGCAGGAGGGTGGACTCTGCTGGCTGGGGCTGATGCTAATGTGGATGTGGGTCTGACTCTGTCCTCCTCTCCTCTTCACATTCCCCGGTGCTTCCTCCCGTGCGGGTGTTAGCTGGGAGGAAATGAGCTCACTTCATCCCAGCCCTGCCAGGATCCTTAAAGGGGCCTAGACTAGCTATTAAAAATCCGCAGCACTGATCGGGCCCCTTTAGAGATATGCCCATCGGGTGGTCCTAAGTGCATGGGCCACCTGATGGGCCCCCTCAGATAGTTATGCCACTGCCAAAACACATACATATAGCGATAAACGCTATATATATGTATGCACATTGGGAATGGGGGAGCCTGGGTGCCTGGGCCCCCCAGGACCGTCGGGCCCATGACAACAGTCATGATTGTCACCCCCTGATGGCGGCCCTGCTTGCAAATATCATTAATAGGTTAACATACCCTTCTGAACATGTCATCATGTCAGCCTCTCTGTCATTTTAAGATGTAGCAGCGTCTGTCTCCAAGTCTCTCCTCTGTGTTTTAACATTTAAAAGTACACCTATTTATACCTTAGGTGTCGTCATTTTAGGGTTACCGTAGTTCATGTATGAAAAAGTAACTTTTTTTACTTTATTCATTTTAGGACCTCCCTTAACTTGGCAAACATACAAGTTCATAACTAAAGGGTGTATACGTCATGGAAATTTTCCTGACTTAGGTCAAGATGGCATCGTACAGTCTGAACATCTTTATCTACTTAAGGTTACCACAGTATATTGTGTACTGAAAGAGTCGTAGCATAGCCTTTAAGTTTGTTTATGCATTATTGTTATTGTAATTCGTCTAGGACAAAATGGCGTAAACATACAGGGAGTGCAGAATTATTAGGCAAGTTGTATTTTTGAGGATTAATTTTATTATTGAACAACAACCATGTTCTCAATGAACCCAAAAAACTCATTAATATCAAAGCTGAATATTTTTGGAAGTAGTTTTTAGTTTGTTTTTAGTTATAGCTATGTTAGGGGATATCTGTGTGTGCAGGTGACTATTACTGTGCATAATTATTAGGCAACTTAACAAAAAACAAATATATACCCATTTCAATTATTTATTATTACCAGTGAAACCAATATAACATCTCAACATTCACAAATATACATTTCTGACATTCAAAAACAAAACAAAAACAAATCAGTGACCAATATAGCCACCTTTCTTTGCAAGGACACTCAAAAGCCTGCCATCCATGGATTCTGTCAGTGTTTTGATCTGTTCACCATCAACATTGCGTGCAGCAGCAACCACAGCCTCCCAGACACTGTTCAGAGAGGTGTACTGTTTTCCCTCCTTGTAAATCTCACATTTGATGATGGACCACAGGTTCTCAATGGGGTTCAGATCAGGTGAACAAGGAGGCCATGTCATTAGATTTTCTTCTTTTATACCCTTTCTTGCCAGCCACGCTGTGGAGTACTTGGACGCGTGTGATGGAGCATTGTCCTGCATGAAAATCATGTTTTTCTTGAAGGATGCAGACTTCTTCCTGTACCACTGCTTGAAGAAGGTGTCTTCCAGGAACTGGCAGTAGGACTGGGAGTTGAGCTTGACTCCATCCTCAACCCGAAAAGGCCCCACAAGCTCATCTTTGATGATACCAGCCCAAACCAGTACTCCACCTCCACCTTGCTGGCGTCTGAGTCGGACTGGAGCTCTCTGCCCTTTACCAATCCAGCCACGGGCCCATCCATCTGGCCCATCAAGACTCACTCTCATTTCATCAGTCCATAAAACCTTAGAAAAATCAGTCTTGAGATATTTCTTGGCCCAGTCTTGACGTTTCAGCTTGTGTGTCTTGTTCAGTGGTGGTCGTCTTTCAGCCTTTCTTACCTTGGCCATGTCTCTGAGTATTGCACACCTTGTGCTTTTGGGCACTCCAGTGATGTTGCAGCTCTGAAATATGGCCAAACTGGTGGCAAGTGGCATCGTGGCAGCTGCACGCTTGACTTTTCTCAGTTCATGGGCAGTTATTTTGCGCCTTGGTTTTTCCACACGCTTCTTGCGACCCTGTTGACTATTTTGAATGAAACGCTTGATTGTTCGATGATCACGCTTCAGAAGCTTTGCAATTTTAAGAGTGCTGCATCCCTCTGCAAGATATCTCACTATTTTTGACTTTTCTGAGCCTGTCAAGTCCTTCTTTTGACCCATTTTGCCAAAGGAAAGGAAGTTGCCTAATAATTATGCACACCTGATATAGGGTGTTGATGTCATTAGACCACACCCCTTCTCATTACAGAGATGCACATCACCTAATATGCTTAATTGGTAGTAGCCTTTCGAGCCTATACAGCTTGGAGTAAGACAACATGCATAAAGAGGATGATGTGGTCAAAATACTCATTTGCCTAATAATTCTGCACTCCCTGTATTATGCACTGAAGATAAGTAAGAGGTTATTGCTTAAAGAAACAGTTATGAAAAACAATATGTTCCATTTCTAACACCTTGTCAGTTTGCAATGTCTCTTAAAGACAAAGTACACAGTTTAAGAAATACAACATTTCATTCTAAAACATGTAATATTTGCATTTGCCCATAACACCCTCTCCATTAAACTGTGGGCATTTTAGAGCATTTCTTCCTTAAATTAGTAAACCAAAGTTCTCCAACAGTCTTTAGGTTTTTTGTGCTCCCAGCATCTTTGATCATTGTTGTAACAGTAAAACATTGGTAGTGCGATCTTTGCCTGTAAAGGTGGTTGATTAAAATGAGCAAAGCTTTTGTCTGGGAAAGAATTGAAAAGAACACTAGGTTCCAGAGTAAGATATTCTTGGATAGATCCGGATACAAATTGTAATCAAAAGTTAAAAGTAGTAATTGTATTTGTAATCCAAAGTCTTAAGGCCTGTAGAAGTTTACATTCCTTAGATACATTGCTGGAGGTCGTGTTTGTAGAATACCTGGGTATTTGTTGTAGAGTATACGTTGTAGAGTCCAGCTTTCCAAATATTTGGCTAGAATTGGTCGCAGATATTGAATCAGCATAATCTGTGATCACCGTGGTAATGGCGTTGGTATTTGTCTTTGTCTTTGCTTGTTTGCTTTGTTTTTTCCATGAAACATTTTTACACCGCTTATAATGTGTATAGATTGGATACTCTCCGATATTCTTTTATGGAATAAATTAATTGACAGCATTTCTAAGACATTGTCTTAAGTGACATGGATCCCATTATAGTAAATGTTATGTTGATACAGCAATCGAAGTGGATTCTCAAGAATGCCTCTTTTTGCAGTAATGAAATCTTTGTAACATCTCTACATCTCACTGACATATAACGACATCAGGTACTGTTGTGCTAAAAATGTTAAAGGGACACTATACGGCCACTGAGACGGCCACCAGAGGGACTTCCTATCATGTAGGGCCCTAAAAAGACCTTGTACACGTCAGACGTATTTAAATGTGAGTTCTGTAAAGAGGAACAGTTCTGTAAAGAGGAATGGTCAAGAATTACTCCTGACCGTTGTGCACGTCTGATCTGCAACTACAGGAAACATTTGGTTGAAGTTATTGGTGCCAAAGGAGGTTCAACCAGTTATTAAATCCAAGGGTTCACATATAGTGATGTCGCGAACATAAAATTTTCGGTTCGCGAATGGCGAACGCGAACTTCCGCAAATGTTCACGAACCGACGAACCGGGCGAACCGCCATAGACTTCGATAGGCAGGTGAATTTTAAAACCCATAGGGACTCTTTCTGGCCACAATGGTGATGGAAAAGTTGTTTCAAGGGGACTAACACCTGGACTGTGGCATGCCGGAGGGGGATCCATGGCAAAACTCCCATGGAAAATTACATAGTTGATGCAGAGTCTGGTTTTAATCCATAAAGGGCATAAATCACCTAACATTCCTCAATTGTTTGGAATAACATGTTTTAAAACATCAGGTATGATGTTGTATCGATCAGGTAGTGTAAGGGTTACGCCCGCTTCACAGTGACAGACCAAACTCCCCGTTTAACGCACTGCAAACAACCGCAAACAGTCCATTTGCACAACCGCAAACTCCCCATTTGCACAAGGTTGGATACCAAGCTAGCCATGTCCCGTTCCTTGTCCCCACTAGTGTATATGGCATCGATTTTTATATGGGACGTGTATATGGCATCGATTTTAGGAACCGGGAGATGGAAAAAGATGCTTGGTCGGTCCTCCTACTTCAAATTTGGGGCACTGCGCGTGCAATCTAATGTGCCACCAGATAGGAGTGGTGTGTTAAGTAGTACTATTCTTATCAGTTTAATCCCAATGTCACGACTACTAGTGTGGTCCAGCACGCAGAAACTATGTAAACATATACATAGGCAAGAAAAGGAAAATAAAAGGACAGAGCGTAAACCGGACCTTAGAATGGCCGGACTAATACGCTAGAGACAGAGAATGGTCAAAGGGAAAGCCGAGGTCAAGGAAGCCAGAAAATACACAATACCGTTTACACAAGCCAAGTCAGGGAAACCAGAATTCAGAATAACCAGGGAAAAGCCAAGATCAGGAGACCAGGAAATCAGATTCACAATGATAAAGCACTCTCAGGAAACCAGGAACAGGAAACCACGACAGGGCAAGGTACTGGGGTGAGCTAGGGATTTAAATATCACGCGGCGGGCCCGCAGCCGCAACACCCTGTTACGTCCCCCTCATCAGGCCTTTTTTAGTCAAATGTATCGCCCACTGTCAGTCCCTTCGGGATCCATCCCTCATTCAGCTTAATAAAGGTGAGGTAATCCAGACTATTTTGACCTAGGCGACTTCTCTTCTCAGTGACAATACCTCCTGCTGCACTGAAGGTCCTTTCTGACAGGACACTTGAAGCGGGGCAGGCCAGAAGTTCTATCGCAAATTGAGATAGCTCAGGCCACAGGTCAAGCCTGCACCCAGTAGTCAAGGGGTTCATCGCTCCTCAGAGTGTCGATACCTGCAGTTAAGGCGAGGTAGTCTGCTACCTGTCGGTCGAGTCGTTCTCTGAGGGTGGACCCCGAAGGGCTGTGGCGATGCGTAGGACTTAAAAAGCTCTGCATGTCCTCCATCAACAGCACATCTGTAAAGCGCCCTGTCCTTGCCGGCGTGGTCGTGGGAGGAGGAGGATTACTTTCACCTCTTCCCCTGTTAGATTCCCGTTGTGCTGTGACATCACCCTTATACGCTGTGTAAAGCATACTTTTTAATTGATTTTGAAACTGCTGCATCCTTTCCGACTTGCCATAATTCGGTAACATTTCAGGCACTTTCTGCTTTAACCGGGGGTCTAGTAGCGTGGACACCCAGTACAGGTCGTTCTCCTTCAGCCTTTTTATACGAGTGTCCCTCAACAGGCACGACAGCATGAAAGACCCCATTTACACAAGGTTGGATGCCGAGCTACTCATGTCCTGTTCCTCATCCTCAGTGATCTCACTGAAGGTATGTTCTTCCCCCCAGCCACGTACAACACCACGGGTACCAGATAGGTGACAACGAGCACCCTGGTATGCCTGTTGTGGTTGGTCTTCTTCCTCCTCCTCAAAGCCACATTCCTCCTCTGACTCCTTTTCCTCACAATCCTCTTCCAGCATTGCCGCAGGTCCAGCAAGCGATGCTGATAAGGCTGTTTCTGGTGGTGATGGTGACCACAACTCTTCCTCTTCACGCTCATCTACGGCCTGATCCAGCACTCTTCGCAGGGCACGCTCCAGGAAGAAAACAAATGGTATGATGTCGCTGATGGTGCCTTCGGTGCGACTGACTAGGTTTGTCACCTCCTCAAAATGACGCATGAGCCTACAGGCATTGCGCATGAGCATCCAGTAACGTGGCAAAAAAATTCCCAGCTCCACAGAGGCTGTCCTAGCACCCCGGTCATACAAATACTCGTTAACGTCTTTTTCTTGTTGGAGCAGGCGGTCGAACATTAGGAGTGTTGAATTCCAACGTGTCGAGATATCGCAAATTAAGCGCCTCACTGGCATGTTTTTTCGCTGCTGATATCTGAAAAGTGCGCCATGGCCGTGTAGGAATGTCTGAAATGGCCACACACCTTCCTGGCCTGCTTTAGGACGTCCTGTAAGCCTGGGTACTTATGCACAAAGCGTTGTATGATCAGATTACACACATGTGCCATGCACGGCACATGTGTCAACTTGCACAAATGCAATGCCGCCAACAAATTTCTTCCGTTGTCACAAACCACTTTGCCGATCTCCAGTTGGTGTGGAGTATGCCACTGAACCACCTGTGCATTCAGGGCAGACAGGAGTGCTGCTCCGGTGTGACTCTCTGCTTTCAGGAAAGTCAACCCCGTGACGGCGTGACACTGCCGTATCCGGGATGAGGAATAGTACCTGGGAAGCTGGGGGGGTGCCGTTGATGTGGA